AAAAAATCATAACAACAGAGCATAATTCAGATTTGATAATATGCCAAAAGTGTTGGAAAAAAAGAGGAGACATATCATCCTCTCTTGGTGATTTCCTTGGATTTAGACTGAACAAATAGGCCTTGATTTCATCTTCATTCACCACAGCTACAAGTTCTTGATTTGTTGGATCTGAAATAGAGCATGGGATATACTGAAGAATCTATTCTTCATCTGTACTCCCCTGGGATTGAAACAACTCAGAGTAAAATTTGCACACAGCCACCTCAATTTAACATATTAAACATGCATATTTTCACATATATAATCAGTTCCTCGGTTAATAGGCATACACTTGGAAAGGAACTGGGAACCGGAACCGAAACATGAAAAAATAACCGAAAACCGAAAAATAGTTTTTTTTAAATAACCGGACCGAATCGATTATTTTCGGTTCGGCCCGGTTCGGTTCTCCGGTCTCGGGTATAAAATCCCACCCCTAGTAACTGGGACTATAATACTAATATAAAATATAATATTTTGTACAAAAAAAAAAAATAAAAAAGAACAAATGGGACAAGTCGTGACTAAATATTCAAAATCGATACAAACAGTGTTTAAGACGGTTCGACAACGGGACAAAAATAAAGAAAATCTTTCATAACCTTAATCAAAACGAGATCATTTCAGTTTGGTTCGCTACGTGAAAATTCTCCACTCCTAGTATCCGGACTTTTGGTATAACGGGCTTCACAAATATCAAAGGGTCGACTTTAAACTAACCGAACACATTAATAGACCGAAAATGTTAACAAAGAGAAGGAAATCAAGCCATATCACCAAACAAGCCCTCGTAAAATAAACTATAATCTAAGCCAACTTCTGATGAATATTAAGGGGTGATAGGATACAAAATATTTTGGATTTGGATGGATTTACTAGATAAAATAAATTAATTTAAAAAAAATTGCTTAAGTGGAATTTTGAACTTGAGTTCAATTAATATTTAAAATATAATGATTAAATTTTATATGATCTAAAAGTGAGAAAAAAGCTACATATTACTGTAAAATGACAATAGAAATTTACTTTAAGTAGAAAGACAAATTCCGCCTAACAATTTGAATTTTACCACAATTTGGAACTTTTTTGAAATTGTTTGAAAATCTGACGGTTGATTTTTAATGTGGATTTCAAATTAATTCACACATCCAAAGAAAAATATCATAAGCAGATTTTTTTAGATACATTCCATTTTATGTTAACTTACATATAATCACATTCCTAACAAACATTAAATTTGTCTATATATTTTTAAATTAATTAAATAAATAAATAATATTAATATACTTTAAATATTTATCAGTATATAAACAATTATAAGTGTTACAAATAATAATGACATTACACGACATGAATAAAATAATATTTGAGTATTATGATGAACCAAGATATGTAATGATATTACTTTTTCTGTATAAAAAAAAATAAATATATATGTTAAATATTATTTATATAATATAAACGAGTCAGCGGGCTAATATATTGTTAAAAAATGTTCCAAGGTACGAAACATCGTGCATCGCACGTAATTCTCACTAGTTGAAAATGATAATTAATTAAAATTACGTGAGTTGATGAACAATAAATTAAAGTTAATGTTATATGTGAAGATGATTAATTTATTTATTTAATTATATTTATAATATTGCGAGATTTATATTAGATTAATTTTAAGTAAAACTGTAAAGAAATTAGAAAAATTTATATCCAATTATGGAGCCATCCATGACTTAGTGTATTGACACTTGTCCAAAGTGCATTTATTGGAGAACACGTGTCAATACACTATTTGTGAATAACTGTGGATGATTTCATAAGCCAAGCCATCGATGGCTCCACAGCAAAATTGTAACTCCCTAAATACACAGTACACACTACACAGTACTCTTAAATTTATTAAATTGACCCTACCAAACTGGTAGTATCATAATTGTTGAAATATCTTCACCGCTTGCTTCTTTGTTCGCTTGCTTCTTTGTTTTAAAGATGTTTACTAGCATTAAATGCGAATAGGGAGACTTAGTCATGAAGCTCCTCGAGGTCCCCATTTACATAATTAATTCTACACGAATTTGGAAATGTTGTTATAGCCACTCAATATTTAGCCACCACAGACAGTGGAATTTTCAAACAACCTACCTTCTCTTTTCAACCAAGTGAAAGACTTGGGTACAATCACTGTAAAATTAACTCATATGAGTCCTCATATGTCCTCGTTTGACACTACTCATGGAACTATATAAAACTATTTGTAAAATATTGTGTCTGACATGTATAATAAAATAAATATCTTTGGACCATATATCGAAACATCGAATCTTGAATGACTCCATAAGAGGAGGATTATTCGGTGGCTCCATAGGATTTTAGTTCAGTAGATATACATACTACTGAAATTGAAATGGTATACTATAAAGAACAACATAAACAAAAATATGATATTCCCTATGCATTTTTTTGTTAGAAAATTTTGGCAGGTTGGTTAGGTTAGCTAGTACAAAAATCGACTAGTACGTAGTCTGTGCAATGCACGAGTCAGAGATGTTAAATGAGTTGTTTCCATAGGTTGGTGCGTTTAGGCCTGAAAAATAATAGAATTGGATCCATCTATTTTCTGTCTTTTTAAATCAGCGTTGTTTTTTTTATCATGACGTTAAACTTGAATCTATTAGACCTAGTCTGTAAATTAATTAATATATTATCCCGATGAAACATGTATACTAATATAAAGTTGATTTTAGTATATATTTGTCTTTGATATAAGAAAAATAACAGTTTTACATATTCTTATTTAAAATTCTAATAACAAAATTTAAAAATTAGTGATTCTACTACTAAAACTACAGACCAACCACTAGTAGTAAAAAAACAACAAAGTTGAACTCAAGATAAGTTCCCTCTTGTCATGTTTGATTGCAAGCTACAACATAGTACCTAACAACAGCTGGAGCCTTGAAGAAATATTCCAAGCACAAATTATACCAAATAATAAGGGGAAAAAATTTTGCCTTATCAGATAAGCTAAAATTATATTAGTGTTATTTAAGTAAATAGAAAATATGGTATATTTACTTCTTGTATATAGAAGTTGTATATAGAAGGTTGGCTCCACTATAGAGCAAAACTGTTGGATTCATAGGAAAACCGTAAACTTAAGTGTCCCCTGCATAAATAGAAAAACAAAAGAAGGAAAATCCAAGTGCATCCACATTTTTATTTAAGATCAACAACAAAAAAATAAACAGAAAACAAAGAACCTAAGACCATGTACAACCACCAATGTACTATGTCCTCATCAATTAACTAGCAAGGACAAAACTCAAAACAACCAAGTGTTTGCACCATTCATGTCATAATAACTTCTAATGTACTATGCACAATTCATGCCATAACTTCTAAACCATCTATAAGCCACTAGATATCGCGGCGCACTACTTTTTCGCCCATTCGTAATATTCGAATCGACGAGCCTTCGGAACTATGATTGATTGCATTATTTCAATTTTCAAGCTTGAGTGAAGAACAATAACTTCTATAATACAATACACTTCACATCATATATATATACATGGACAAAACAAGATGAAGTTTGTTTTTTTATGGGATATTTTTGCACTACTAATTACAATGTATATTAAGAAAGAAGAAACAAAAAGTAAATTGGATGATGGCAAGCATTTATCTATATCTTATAACCTATATACAATAGACCTTTTAAGAAGAAGGAAAAAAAAAACAATAATATCACGAAATTATGCTCCAAAATTACTCTCCAATTTGCCTCAATTTTTCTTCAATTACTCTTCAATTTGCTTTATTTTTTCTTCAATTAATCTTCTAATGGTGCTGAGGGAGGCGGAAACGGACCTGAGACGCCGGCGACTTGACGGCGACCCCGTGCCAGCAGATGCCGCCGCGGCACATCTCGTGGCCGTGTTCCCTTGCCGCCATGAGCGCGTGCGCGGCCTTGCGCGAGACATCCCAGGCAAGGCTCGCGACCAGGATCGCCGCCACCACCGCGGTGGAGAGGATGAGGACGGAGGCGCCGCCGAAGCTCCGGCCGGCCGCCATCCCGTAGGCCTTCATCGCGGCGATCACCACCAGGTAGAGCGACGTCAGGTTACCGGCCACCGCGCTGGAGATCGCCATCGTCCGGCGGAAGGCGGCGGGGAGGAGAAAATTGGTCGAGGGGCGGACTTTTTGTGCGGTGGGTGGGGGGATTTCAATGGTTTTGGGGAGGTTTGTGTGTTTGGGGGTTGTTGTTATAATTAAAAAGGGAAGGCAGAGTTTGTGTGGTTTTGAGCTTATCTGCTTTTTTTGTGTTTTATTTATTTATTTGGTACTTTTGAGAAAGTGAAATAATTATTGGGAAACTTCTTCTAAAATTCCCAATCTCTTTTCTAAATTTCTTGTCAGTCCCTTCTCTATTTTTTTTACTCTACACTCCCTACCCCTTAATTTTCTTCCTCCTAACTCCCTATTGTTAAATTAAATCAAAAATAAAGTAAATAATGACATCATCCCACTAAAATTTACCTTTACATATTATTTTATTATTTCTCTCTCCCTCTACTACTAACTTTTTTAATTTTTTATTATTTTTCTTTCTTTCTTTCTCCACATATTTTTTATTATTTTCTTTTTATCATCTTCACTATTTATCTCTTCTACCACTAATTTTTCTTAATTTTTTTATTAATTAGTATAAATTTGGTTTGTATAAATTGTTCAAATTAAAAAAATTTATATTTTACTAATCTTTATTTCATATAAATTTATATTATACTAAATCTATAAATTTGTATTTTATGTCGTTCAAATTTACCAAATAATTTTTATAAAATTAAATTATATAATTTAAATTTTATTAAAAATTATTTATTCAAAGATCTATCTAATTTTCAAGAGAAAGATATATCAACTAGTACGATACATGTGTACTACACGGGTACGTAATTATATTAATTTTTGTATAATAGAAAAACTAAAATAATTTATAACTTTTATATTGTAAATTATGTATAATGAATATATAAAAATATGAATAACTAACATATTAATAATTAATTTAAAATGGGGTCCGTATTTTTGCACTTAATTTTCTTATTTTATATAAAATCTATGATACACGAATTCAAATGAATATTTTATGTGTATTACTGAATTAGATTTTTATTATTTTTGTTATAAAATAATTAATGTTGTATTCATATTGTTGAAATTATCTTTTAATAAATATAGTTTTATTTATATTGATAGATGTAATTATTTTTTATTTTATATATACAATATGGATGTCAAATAGAAGATCATTAAATTTTAACATACAAAAATAAAATAAAAATAAAACAATTATAAATATTTAAAAATAAAAAGAATACATATTTATTATAATAATTATTATATGAATTAAATAAGAAAGAGTAAGTGAAGTATATGGTAACTTGAGAAAAAAAACTTGAAATAGTTTATGATAATTCTCAAACCTAAAACCGAACATTTATATGTAGGATTATATGCCTAAAATAGTGTACGAATTATCTTATGACAAGTTATTATAGGAAATATGCTAAAAATTGGGGAATATAACACCTAGATTTTATAACAAATCAACATAAAATTTGACTTTCATACGTATACCAAATAAAATTCATACCACTTATTTTATTTTCAAAATTATATACAATTCTAACCACACCAAATAAAATTCATATCATTTAAATTTGGGCATTTAATGCCAAAATAAAACCGCCATCATCTTATTAATCATGATACTCAACATTATTTTATTCTAAAATTTAGTGTCATATAATGTTACTAAAATATTTTGTAAAATTAACAACCCAATTTTATTATATGCAAATATATGATATTTCTAACAAACAAAATTTTTATATTTTAATAGCTTACGCAATACGATTTCTAATTAGTTGCATGTATAAGAGGCAAACCGCGACGAATTACGTTATAAACATTTTAAAACACTAAAAGGAATATAATTTTAATATAAATGACCGTTAAGGCAAGATTATATTATTTATTGTGAAATCCCATGTGCTAAGGACTAAAATTTTAAATATTTATTTGTTGAAATTTAAAAGGTTCAAATTTTTTAAAGTTAAAAAGTTAAAGTTTTAAATATTTATTTTAAAAGTTAAAAATTAAATTTTAATTTAATTTTAATTTAAATATGTGATAGCATTAAAATATAAAATTATAAACTATTTAGAAAAATAAATTTATTTATTTTTAAATAAAATTTTAGAAAATATTGTTTGTGAATAGAATTTAAATTTTTGAAAAAGTTAAGAATATATAAAATTAATAACTGAAATATTATATTGTAGGTACTTTTATTCAAAAATAATATTTTCTATAAGTTTATTTATAAAAAATAAAACTATTTTTCTAAATAGTTTATATTTTAATGTTATCACATATTTAGATTAAAATTAAGTTAATATTTACTTTTTAACTTTTAAATAAATTTCATTAAGTTTTTGCATAAATGTAAATTATGAAATAATTATCTTATTAGATAATTTTACTAAAAAGCACTTAAAAAGTAAATTTAAAAAAAAAATTGTTGTTTACATAATTATATCAAAATACAAATTGATATGGAGTCTTAATTTGAAAAGGAGAATGTAAAAGTAGGTCTTATATTGAGAATAACTTAAAAGTGAAACCTTCAAATGAAAAAGTTAAAAATTTAGGCCTTATTGTCACACAATAACAAAAAGTCAAGTCCTACAATGAAATTTTCCCTCCATGCCACGTGGATCGTTCACGCGTGATTTGATTGAGAAATAGTGGAAGTTAAAACATATAGGTAAAATTTAGAGTAGTTATATGATCATTTAATGAGATGAAGTGTGTCTTTTAATAAGATGAAATGTATTAGTGGTGTTCTTATTAGTGTGTTGAATTCGTGACCAATTTGCAATTAAACTTAATTAAACACATTTTTAATCTCATAGAAACTAATGTGAGAGTGATAATGAGTCATATAAACATCATTTGAGACCAAAATTCGGTGTTTTTTATGTTCGTCAGAGTTGGTACTAAAGACCCGATATCTGGTACTAATATACCAAAAGCTGGTACTATCTTACTATAGGTTTGGTACCAAATTTTGCAAATATTGACCAAAACTGAAGTAACTATTTTCGCTGACAAAAAATAGGTATTAATTGATTAAAAACAGGTATTACGCAGAAAAAGATACGGTACTAATTCTGTCAAAAACTGGTACTAATTTAGTAATCGTGATTTCCTTAAACCTCCATATCTACCATGCCACGTGGATAATTCACGCGTGATTTGGTTGAGAAATAGTGGAAGTTAAAACTTATAATTAGAATTTGGAGTAGTCATGTATGATCATTCAGTGTGTCTTTTAAATCATGTCATTTGAGTTCGTGACCAATTTGCAATTAAAATTAATTAAACACATTTTAAATCTCATAAAAACTAATGTGAGAGTGATAATTGGTCATATAAACATCATTTGAAACCAAAATTTAGTGGTTTTTTATGTACGTCGAAGTTGGTACTAAAGACCCAATATCTGGTACTAAAACACCATAACGCTGGTACTATCTTACTCTAGCTCTGGTACTAATTGTGAAAATGTTGACCAAATTTGAAGTAATCCATTTTTCGTTCTTTCTACAAAGTAGATACTAATTGATCAGTAACTGGTAGTGCATAGAAGAAGAAGTGGTATTTTTTGTGGAAAAACATACACCATTTTACTAAATTCATTTTTTTTATCTTCGTCGGAGTCGGTACTGAAAACCCGATCGGTAATGAAGTGTATTAGTAGTGTTTTCTCATTAGTGTGTTGAGTTCATGACTAATTTACGATGAAACTCAATTAAAAATATTTTAAATCTCATAAACTAATGTGAGAATGATTATGGTTCATATATATATATCACTCGAGACCGAAATTCGGTGTTTTTATGTGTTCATTACAAGTGGTACTAAAGACCAATTATCTGGTACTATAACACCGAAAGATGGTACTAACTTACTTTAGGTTTGGTACCAATTATTGCAAATGTTGACCACAATTGAATAATCCATTTTCGTTGACTAAAAGTTGGTACTAATTGATCAATAACTGGTACCACGTAGAAGAAGATGAGGTACTGTATTGGCTAAAACATGTATCAAAAGACCGACAATCATATTCTATAAAGAAGTATTTTAAGAATCGTGATTTTCTAATCCTACATGTCTACCATGACACGTGGATCGTTCATGCGTGATTTGGATGAAAAATAGTGGAAGTTAAAACATATAGGTAGAATTTGGAGTAGTCATGTATGATTATTCTATGAGATGAAATGTATCATTCAATGAAATGAAGTGTATTAGTAGTGATTTGTCATTAGTGCGCCGTGTTCATGACCATTTTACGATTAAACTCAATTTAAAACATTTTAAATCTCATATAAACTAATGTGAGAATGATTATGGTTCATATAACATCACTCGAGACCGAAATTCTGTGTTTTTATGTGTTCATTACAAGTGGTACTAAAGACCAAATATTTGGTACTACAATACCGAAAGATGGTACTAAATTACTCTAAATTTGGTACCAATTATTGCAAATGTTGACGACAATTGAATAATCCATGTTCGTTGAATAAAAGTTGGTACTAATTGATCAATAATTGGTACCACGTAGAAGAAGATACGGTACTATATTGGCTAAAACAGGTACTATGTTAAGAATCATGATTTCTCTAATCATGCATGTCTACCATGACACGTGGATCGTTCACGCGTGATTTGGATTAAAAATACTGGAAGTTAAAACATATAGGTAGAATTTGGAGTAGTCATGTATGATGATTCTATGAGATGAAGTGTGTCATTCAATGAAATGAAGTGTATTAGTAGTGACTTCTCATTAGTGCGTCGAGTTCATGACCATTTTACGATTAAACTCAATTTAAGACATTTTAAATCACATATAAACTAATGTGAGAGTGATTATAGGTCTTATAAACATCGTTCGAAAACAAAATTCGTTATTTTTATATGTTCATTACAAGTGGTACTAATGACCCAATGTCAGGTACCACAACAATATAATGCTGGTACTACCTTACTCTATGTCTGGTACTACTTTT